CATCTCTCACACCAGCCATTAGCCCAAGGTCAAGACTGAATGTGGTCACATCAGAATCACTTTCCCTAAACCAGGGCAGCTGGTAGCTCATTCGACGATAATGCACACAATTGGCACATATAACCACTTCTGGAGTTTTGTAGTTTTAGAAAGTAGGAATCATATTCTGAGTGCAGTACATTTTGCATCACCCTTTCAACTAGTATCTCCAGACATGCAATCGTGTTTAGTTAACTTGTTTGTTTTAGATAGCTGAGTATTGATAATGTAACGAATTTTAAACAAAAGAGCAAACGTTTGGGAGTCTCTGCAGCTTAGAGGCATAAACCACAATGTACTGTATCCAGTTTGAATTAGGCCAGGGACTTTTGTTTTCAAAAACTAGTTGAAAACTTGTACTGCATTGCTTTGGAACAGAAGATTTCCTGTGAATAAAACTACATGAAATATATATTTGAATATGTATTTCTCTGCACATTGCAATATCGGTCTACTCCATCTATCTGTGTGGGCTAAATTATTTTTATCTTGAAATACTGTGAATACTTATTATTATAATATTATTATAATACTTATTAGGAAGCACAGACAGTGAAAGACTATATTGAGGGAGCTTCATACTTCATACTTAAGTAGTTTTCCTTGACCTAACCTAACCCTAATCCAGCCCGTAGAGAGTTTCATTTTGGCCCTCCTAAAGAAAAGGTTTTGGTACTCTGGCTTTAAACAAATCATTTCCTTACTGTGCAGCATTTGTTCCTCATGCCTTATTCACCCACCCTTGAGTCAAAGCCCAAACACCACAAATGTCCACTTCCTATTGCAATAACTAACAAATCACCCCAAATCTCCTCCTTGCCTTACATGAACAAGTTCAGCTCTACTTCCTCCACGTTTCCTTCCATTCACCTGATCCCTGGAAGCTTTTAGATGCTTTGGAGCACATATCAGGCAGATGACAATACAGCAGATGCTCAGAGTCTGGGCAAAGTGCTGGTAAGACCGGTCCTGGAGACACTGCCAACAATCTAATATTAGCTGAGCACATGGCTGTCTCAGTCACTAATCTGGCTAAAGTTAGTTCATTGCTTCCCAAGCCTCTTTCCAAGTTCTTGTGCTCTACCACTGACCTCTGCTGGGTACTCTGGTGTCTGGGGAGAAGTTGGACTGATTTTTGCTATGATGAGTGAATGTCTCTGTAAGGAATTTGCAGAAAAGGAGGAAAATAACTCTGACCCTAAAAGGAAAGTGTGAGTACTATCAGGAGGTGGGAATCAGAACAAAATGTTCTGTAACTCATACATCGGATTAGTAATCATTTATAAAAATCAGTTGGATTTTCTTTGACAAACCAGAGCAAAGACTTTCTGGAGATAAAGATAAAACTGCTGTTATAGTATGCTGTGCTGTGCTGCCCTCGTCTGGTACAGCAGTTAGATCATTATTGTATGTCTAAAAGGATAAAGGAAAACACCACCACCCCGCCCTGTTGTGCCAAACAGGCTTCCCTTTCCTCTGTATTTCTTCCAATGAACTGAATTTCTGTTTTGGCCTTTCACAAGCTATTAATCTTTGCCCTAAGCATGCCTCTTTTCCTTTTCCTGTATTTCATATCAGTACGGAGTCAAGACCCACCTCAGGCACTTGTGTCTATACATAGAACCTTTTGAGTAATGGATCAGGTTAGTGTTGTGCTATAGGTCTGGCCAGATGGCTCACAGTCAAAGAGGCAGTTTCTGATAAGGAATTGGCTGGAGCATTTAGTGGAATTTAGTGGGATTATGTTGTTAAAGGTGTGTCAGCTTCAGCTGGGTGGTATCAACAACATGTGTCATTTGGTTGACTCTTTGCAACTACAATTCTCAGGATCAAAGTATTTTTGAATGAGTGATCAATTTGCCACAGTGGCTTCACTCAGACAAGACAGGGGCTCTGTGATGATCTACATTTCATATCAAAATAGTTTTGCTTGTTAATAGAGTTGGCATTTCATAATGACTTGTTAATGATATGGTCCACTCAAAAGTGGAGCCATGTAAGTTCAGACAAGCAAAATGTGCCTTCTTGTAAGTTTGTAGATATATTTGAATGTGATGTAGACAGCAGCTGTAACCTACAGCGAGGATTCATGTTGTGGCTATTTTAAACATGAGCTGTCTCAATATCTTGTCTAACTACGCTATATAAACAAGGTGCATGTCCAAGCACTGCATTACCCAGTTGAATCAGAAGGGGGCAGTCTGCATTCCTCTAACAGAGAGGAGCTGTTGTGTAACACAGGCTACATTAATGTGCATAAAGTCACATAATGGCCTTACAGGATTAATTCAGTAATCAATACTGTTAATCTGTTTACATGCACCTTTGGTATAAGTAAGTGAGACGCTGATGATGAATAAACCTGTCAACATGATATTCCTGTCCACATATGGGATTCAAAACAAACTGGTTTCACAGTTCAAGTTGTATGAAATTAGAAAAAGTTGAGCATCTGGTTTCTTATAATTGCAATATAATATTACCTGTATTACTCAAACCTGTGATATTTGTGTTGACACAAAACTATGTTAATCAGGTAAAAAAAAACAGATGGAAACAGAAAAATAGCATGATCTCCTTTGACACAAAATATTATGTTAGACCAATGGAAAAACTTTGTATGTCTGCTTTGTTTTCTTTTAATGTAAGCATGCACATTCAGGCAAATCAGTTGCATGCTCCAAAGTTTACAGCATCTGTGTGGGTGTGTGTTTCCATGTAAGTCTGTGTGTCATCCCTGTCATGGGAATAATTACCACCAAGGCCCCCTGGCTTAGAGTAACAGTAGGGTTATTTTGTTGTCCCAGCAAATAGATTTCCATGGGAAAACAGACCCCAAGATGCTGTCTCCATCACACAGACACACTGAAATTATGCAGGCAGGGGGTCCTCAGCAGTAGAGCAGATTTAGAGGCCATAGCCTCCATGATTCAGTCACAGCGCTTCTTTGGACCGTTAGAGAGGTTTGCTCTAACACAACAGACGGGCAGCAGAGAGTCGTGGATGGACAGATTCTGAGAGAGCTGTGGAGACAAGTGAGAGAGAGTGAGAGAGAGATAGAGAGAGAGAGAGCAAGTGAGTGAGCAGACTAACTCAACAGACTGTAAGGGGAGCAAGGTTGGCTGCTGTCTGTTTCTTTCTTTTAATCCTTAAATCTTCTGTAATCAGGATGAGAGGGAGAGAGCATGTTGCCTGACTTAGGATGGCAGAGTCTATGTTGGGACCTGGACGGATTGGCAACGTAACTGGCCAGTAGGAGAGATGGAGGGAGGAGGAAGGCATTCAGCTAGAGTCAGTTTGGGAAACTTAAACCAGTTTCTATCAAAAGCCAACAGGAAGAGTGGAAGTCCAAAATATGAGGATGGTTTAACCACCGAGAGCAAGTAAAAAGAGAGAAAAAAGAGAAGAGGACTAAACTATGGCTGGATTGTTTTAGGGTGAGATTTTTGAGATTATTATTACTATTTGTTCTAAGAAGTGTTTCTCTGTGCTTTGGCACAAATGGTTGCATATTTTTACATCGTCACTCCACAGTTTGGAGAGGCAACAGAGACAGCTCATATTCAAAATTCAGAGGAAGAAGCCTGACCAGATTGCAAGGTGTTGCATAGCAGGAAGTGTAAGGCCACAATGACAGTGTTAGCTTTCTATGTTTGTGCAGAAAGAAGAAATGAGAGAAAAGTTTGTGTGTTAATAATCTTCATTCTTCTGACACAAAGCCGAAACAGAAACATATGTTTGTGGGATTGAAGTTGAGAGTTCATTCAAAATGCGCTTTTACTCTAATAACTTAGCATTAATTAAATAATTGTCAGCAGGTGCAAAGCTGAGCTTGTCAAATTCTCTGTGTGAATTTGTGCCTAGTGTGGATATGGTACAGTGATATATGCAGGGCCAAGGCATCTTGACGACCCTCAATCCCTCACTGGAAAGCAATCAAGCTCTTTCTCACTCCCTGCAGCTCCTTCAAAACATTAGGAATGACTAACTCTTTCAAAGTCTGAGCCTTGAGGAACAGTGTCATCACTGGTTTCAAAATGTACTTCATACAAACGCAACATTTGTATTAATAGCCTTTGTGTAGTTTATTGAATTATACCAGAGAACCACTGGATACCCCAGTGTACTTGTACTGCAGACCAGTGTGACACGGTTAAGACACCATGACAGATGCTGTCGCTTGCCTGGCCTCCCATTGCTTCCGGCACCATATGGCTTTCTCGACCCATTACACCCCTCCTACTATGCCTTCTTTCACATTACTTTCACAGAGCTTCTGCAGATATACAGAATTTATTGCACATATATTATTTGTAGAAATATATATATACATATATACATGCCTTGTACATTTTTACACATTTCAGAGTATTAATAAATATATTGGAAACATTTGTTTGCTCTCAGAGTCATAATAACTGATCCTCTATTTTATAATGGGCTGAGCTAGTGAACAAGCATTGACAAAAAGTATGTTATACAGTCAGCTTTCCTATCTTGTAAATCACAGACTTATGGATCAGCTGCTCTGACAGGAGGGCTGAGGTGAGCTCCTTATCCTCTTTAGGCATCGTGCATTATAGACAAGGCCTTTTCAGGTCTTCAGATCTATTTAACATACTAACTTCAAAGGCTGCCAGGGTTTTGTTGTTAGTTGTGTAGTGTAAGTAAAACAAAATGGACACAAATATTTCCACAATAACCATAAGCCATTAGGGCTGTTCTCCTACCATAGTAGCAGGTTTTGCACCCAATGGCATTAAAGGTATCTAAATGTGCTGATTGGCACAGAAAGTTTAAAGGTGTTAGGTCATGCCCTTCACCACACCCCTTTTGGCAACTCAGTCTGAAGTCAAAGGTAGTCAGGGGGCCAGGGGGGGAAACCGAGTAAATTAGAATGTGTTTATATTGTGTCCATGATAAAAACACTTAATGTTTTCTTATTCAAGATGTGGATGGTGTGGAGGAGACCTGACACTAAGTTGTGATCCCAGGCAGAAGGGGGTCCAATGGCCACTGCAAATTATGACCCCCACCTGGGCGCAGGCCCATCCGAGGATTCGGAGATCCTCCTGGATGATTCTGACTCAGGGAGTGTTCTTTCTGATGACTCGGTGCTTCCTGAATATGAAAGGGATGAAAAGGATAAAGAGCCGGCTAAAACGCTGTACGAGGCCTGCGTTAAGAATGACCCCACATCCTTGCGTAGGATCCTGGAGAGAGGAGTCACTAAAGAAGAGGCCATGGAGCTGGACATCAATGGCAGGGTGAGATGGATTTCATTTTCCTTTTTATCACAGAAGGAACGTGAAATCTACATTTCTGCCATGAAAAAGGTTTAATATAAAGGTAAATATACAGTTTAACAAAGGTCCATTTATTTCCATTTGTCTTCCCTCAGAATGGACTGATGGTGGCCGTGGGCAAGGGATTCATAGACATTGTCACCATGCTGCACATGTGTCCATTAATAGACATCAACCACCAAGACAATGATGGCAATACTGCCCTCATGTTTGCTGCCCAGGCAGGTATGTCTGTTGACATATGCAGCACATATCCGCAATATCTAGTCTCAGGGCAATTCTACAATATTAACATAATGTTGTTTCTTTCAACCAGGCTTCGTCACCATTCTAAACTATATCATTAACTACTACTCTGGTGTGGACACTGAGGTCAGGGATCCCCGTGGCTTTACAGCCCTCATCAAGGCAGGCCTGCAGGGCCGAGAAGAGTGTGTGTCCGCCCTGATAATGCATGGTAGGTTTATGGTACATAAGATCTCCAATAAACTTAGCAATGTTTAGATAGGAGGAACATCTGGTGTCTGTGCACACATGGACAAGAGATTTATTCAGTCCAGATTCTTAGATTTGTGCAGACCCTCACCCGTAATACATATCGGTTTAGGAGAAAACAGACAGTTAGGATGCAAGGATCACAAATATACAATGTACAATTTGTGAACTTCCCCAGGAAAGCATATATCAAAAAATGTAAATGTTGTATACATGTGACACACAGGATAAACCAGGACATCTGATCTGTGAACTAATCTGGTCTTTCTTTGGGCCGTAGGGATTAGTCCATATAAACTGTACAGGGACACATTTAGGATCGCACTATAAAAATTACAGCCCTGCTGTATTTAAAGACCAACTATGTCAGAGACAGAATGACAACATTAGTTCATAATCTAATTGTATTTACAGGCAAACTTGAGCTATATGTGGAAATTAAATATATGTCTGGTGATCCTGGATTTGTTTTAAAGCCTCGATTATTCTTTCAGTGGATTGTCATAGTCTTTGAAATAGACATAGAAATAGCCTCCATCCAATAGTGGGTTAAACTGAATTAGATAACATTTAGAGAGAGAGAGAGAGAGCATCTAGAGAATCTGCAGGATTTAGTGTCTTGTTTTTTGTTCACCTAACTGCAATCTGTACCCTATTCCATCATGCTGTCAAATGACCTGATTTCTGGTAGTGTTACACTAAACATTTAGTCAATGAACTGTGCTTCAAAAGCGACCACATGGTGGGGTAATTTTACTTAGCTGAAGGAGCAATTGATTTCCTCACATCCCTCAGCATCCAATGATTATTAACTTGTTTCCTTGTTTTCACCGCATTCTGTTATGTTCTCCTTTTTCATGTGCAGGTGCAGATATGTATGCAATGGACCTGGTCCAAGGGAGAAGTCTAAAGGACTGGATCCTTAGGACCGGAGGCTTTGAGACTATTAAAAGAATACGCCGCCTTCAGGCTCATCCTGTAGCTGAGCAGTTCTGTGATAGCTACATTCCAGAGTGGCCTGAGCTGAAGCAACTGGTAGCGAAGGTCACTGCCAACAAAACAGCCAGTCAGAAGCTGAGGCAACGCTTAAAAGACAGCCTTTCTTTCAGCTTCCCTCAGGACCCCCAAGACAATGGGGTCATGGACCATATGGTGCGGATGACAACAGGCATCCACAGCCCCATGGTAGCCACTGGTTGTCGTCCACTCTGTCCCAGCAGCCCCCCAGAGATTGGCAAGAGAAGGTTTGCCGTTCCTGAACTGCTTGAAAAGCACAGCAGCAAAGAGTTGGAGGAGAGCACAGTGTCCCATACTAAAGGCTCCATCACCTCAGTTTCTCCCACTCCTGTGTCCGCCGCCTCTGTATCTCTGACCTCCTGCTGCCAAAACTCAGAGCGCAGGGAAAGCGTGACACCAGGTGGCATGAAGAGCTACATTCCCCGCAGCATGGCACATAGGAACAGCATCTTCCCCTCAGGCTGTATTCCTAAGATTGAAGTGACTAAATCTGGGGAGCCCACTCCAAAGAAAGAGAAAAAGAAGAAAATGCGGAAGGGCTACCTGGAGCCTCCTGTCTGGAAGTACAAGGAGGCCAAGGAGGAGAAAAAGAGAGAGAAGAAGCAACAAGAAAAAGAAAAAGAGCAACAGAAAAAAAGTAAAGGGTCCAAACGTTCATCAAGCCATAAATGAGACTTCGTTCTCTTTTCCTCAGAGAATTTCACTGTGATAACTTCATGCATGAGGGTTGAACATGTGACAACAGTTACTCTGAGGCCAGAATTAACAGAAGAAAAAGGAATAGCAAAACCAGTTGGGAAGTCAGCAATAGAAAAAACGCATTGACGTTTGAACTTCATCTTGGGAAAACTATTTATTTATTTATTTTCCAGCATCTTTGGAAAGCTGGACATGATGTTTGAAGATATACAGTGATGTGTTTTAGTGTGGATGTTTCTTAATGCAACTCCTACCTTGTGGATTTGTAGATTAAGTCTCACAGGGATGCAAAGTTATACTTACTGAATTATTTCATTTTAAAGGCACTCGACATTTGTGAATATTTATTATCAATTTTTGAATTGATTTTTAAGTAGCCTCCCATCATAGTATTCAGCTGCAAGACAACCAAAGTAATAGCAAAGTTGCATCAGCACACAATTATTATAAAATCCTCCTTTTCCCACTCTGCAATGGAAGTAATGGCACCCCACTGAACGCACCGATTGTTACAGAAATTGGCTCACCAATGGAGGCACAAGATTGTATCGATGCTAACGGTCCCTCTTGCACCGCCATCATTTTAAGGTAAATTCACCTCGATAATTTGATTTGCTGTGCAGATAATCATAAATCATAAATTGATACAAAGGTCACTAATGACGGTATTAATTATGTCGTCACTCCAGTGTCAAGATCTCTTTTTCACCTATAAACAAACCCTTTTGACCTCAGAACATAAGCTGGTCCATTTCTGATAACTATAAAGAAGTCACCTTCCTGACAAATGCAGCATCGGCGGGATACTTTTATCCAGCAGGGTTTTGTTCACTTCAGACAGTTTGACCATGATGCACAAAGAAAGTTGTTTGCAAAGATTCAGAAACAGGAAGTCATATAGCTGTGTAATGTACTGTCCAATTATGATTAAAACTGCTCAGTTGTAGTAGATTTGTACGCAAATCCTACAACAGCAAGGAAAAGTCTGAATTACTTTTGAGCTTACAACCCTTGACTGAGCCTCAAAACAACAATTTCTTTCCATTTTACAGCATTTTGCAAATGAAATCCGTCATCATTTTGATATAGTTTTATAAAAAAAAAAACAATAAAAAAACTTATTCTTATTCTTCTATAAAGGTTAGCAAATCTTCACTGTATGCAACATGTAGCATCTACTGCCTTTATTAAGTCTTTTTGACTGAATTGTAATACTCCAAACGGTTTTGCTGTGGCATGTGCAAGATGTAAAAATAACTACAGAAGAAAGGAACCGCGCCATATCTGCAACATTTGATCTGCTCATGAGAAAAACTGTTCACAAGTATACAACTCCTTGGTGCTTAATGTACTGTGTTTGATGGGCTTTTACTTGGACACAAGAATTGCTGTCTGTAAAAAAAAATTAAGAGACAAATAGCAGACCTCACATGTGCAGTTATCTATGCACACAATTATTTGTACATTATGTTACTCAGGAAATTGTTTGTTAATAATAAGCATTATACATTAAGCATCTGTCAAGGCAAGAAATCTCTTTTTGGGTCCAGCTTGCATTGGAATTAAAATGTTCTATGTATAGATCAACTTGGTAATTGCTGAAATCATAACTAATAACTCATACAGCTGTTACAGCAATACATGTTCTAATTAAAACAAGATATATTTAAATGTGTTATCTAAAAAAAATGTATTTAGATGCTGTTCTTACAAAAAAAATTAGAGGATCATTTCTGGGGTTGTTTATCTGAATCAAGAGACTCAGAAAACTCAGGTCTTCTGTGAGACAAATAAAAATGTGTTTGTATGAGAGCCTGAAATGAATGTGCTGACCTTTGCAAGTGAGTTTGTTTTTCTTCACTCTGCTGAATCTTTAACTCTGGTGATCTGAAAGTGATTAGTGTGTTTGCGGTTGTTACAGGACATTCAGAGAAAAGATTTTAAAGTGAACTCCTCAACTCTGCTATGAAGATATGGTATTTACACACAAGAAATGTATAATTTCCTTAACTGGCATGCATGTGATTGATACGTGCCTCTTGTCTGGCACATAACCTTGGTTACTCTTTTACAATGAAGTTACTTAGCGCTTCTTAAGGAAGCCTATAATGCGCTCTCTCCAGTGGCATGAAATGGCTTTTGAACCCTCGCCTGTAATCTTTTAATCCAATATGCAGTTTATCATTACATAACAATTAGCTTTAATTGGTAGTAACAAATGGCTACCTTGATACATTCAAGAACATTTCATAGAATTATTTATATGAAAAGATGATGCAGCTGGTTAGTAGCATTATATATTCAGCATTGTGGCTCACTTCCTCTTCACAGGGGAACTTGGGTACTTGAGGTCGACTTCAAAATAAATACTTCCCTAGAGTTCAGGGAAAGAACACATCAGACAGATATTCTTATACACAGAAAACAAACCAGAAGCTCTTTGACCACACGGTGAAGCATGAATATAACTTAAGTCAGCATTGTATTTTGACTTTATGTGCTGTGTCCACTGTTAAAATGTTGACTATTCAATAGTACTGAAGTGGCAGTAAAACAAGTCTTCTCTTTATCAAGAATTAGCCTTTGGAAAACTGACAGTATGAATGAATGTCTGTTGAAGCTATATCACATTCCCTCTGCTCTAGTAGATTATACAGCAAATAGAAGATTTTTAGAAAAGCCTTAAGGGAATAGGACAGAGTGGCTCTTTGAATCACAGAGATAAGTAGAAAAGAAAAATAAGTACTGATTTTGAAAAAAGAACAATTTGCTCTCTTTTCTACATGACAGCTGATGTGAGAGCGTCCAGCTGTTTCTTCAGCCGTAAGCCAAAAACGGAAAGATTACAGAGCCTGAGAACAAGGAGGGGAATTTATATTACAGACATGAAGACATCTCTCTCAGGCTCCGCTGAATGAAGTGTTTTCATACAGCAGAGTCTGTCTGGCATCCAAGAGACAACTGTATTTGCCATTAAGACAGACTTTGACGGCCACAACTGCTGTAACAGAAAGGCACTGATGTGTTTTCTTCAGTTTAAGAGGATGCTCGCCAAATTTATTAGACACACTGATTAGGAGGATTAAGTGTTTCTCAAGAGAAAAAAATGTTTTACAGTCATCCTCTGCTCAAAAATGTGTTTTGGTTATTGTTGCATCATTTTACCTTCATGGTGCAGAATGATGTGTGGGCAGAGTTTGACACGTTGACAGTTTCAGACATGTACGCATGAGCATGATTTTATAACATCAACTAGTCTGGAAGTCAGTCATAGCTCAATATGGAATGAATACGTGTGATGTGGACACTCCAGTGCACATACACTAAGAATTGACTTTTCAAGGCTTTAAGGAGCTTTATAGTGGTTGTTTAGCTATCCGCCATGCAACTTTGCTCTTCTGGTTCACTCCTACGGCTCTAGCACTGTTTTAAAAATGCAACAGACAGCTGTTTTCAGCAGAAAAATTCAAATAAACCTACTGTATACTACCTAGGCCAGTGGTTCTCAACCCTATTGTATCCCAAATTGATACATATCGGGCCACGGACCTGTATTTGATAAGACAATTCTCAGGAATATCCATCTGAGATAAGATTGAATTATTCCACAACTGTCTATACTGTAGATTAAATTGTGAAACCCATGAATACAATAATCATCCTTATACATTCTCTCATTAAGCTAACTTGTAGTCAATTAAATAATAGCTAAATGTAAATATTCCCCATTTCTGGGACCCCTGGAACCCCCTCAAGGACCCCTGGAGGTCCCTGGACCCTAGGTTGAGACCGCTGACCTGGGCTGCTCAGGTGACAGAAGTTAGCAACTAGCTGGTGAACTTAGTGGAGCAGCTGAGGAGTTAAAAGAGAGTGAAAACTGGAGTCCAAATGAATGATAATGTTGCTTTCTATTTGCAGACAGTTATTCCAAGCAACTTATGTTCATGCTTCTAAGAACATGTCTTTAAGTTCATTACTAATGCTGAAGACAAAGCCTCTAAACAGGATTTTATGGTTTAATAAAAAATTCTGAGTAGTTCTTGTTTTTACTCAAAGCAATGTTATTGTATCATAGTGGGGTCTTTGAAGCACATTCCTGTCAGTGCAGTGCAGACACCAGTCCACAGGGAAAAGAGGAAAATGAGAGGTTTAGCGAGCAACAGGAAAACCGCTATGAGAACACATTCCAGGCAGAGCAGAGTCTGTACGGGACAATAAGGGGTGGGACAAGAACTGTATACTATCTAAAAATATGTAATCTTGCCTTTAGATCAGGACCATAGACAGACAACAAAACACGTTCTTGCTTAATGGGAGAGGACTGGCAGAGAGCCTTCCCTTGTGAAGCGGAAAGAGTCTGGGCTGCGTCCAAAACCGACGACGAGGGTTCGCGTTGTCGGTTCATCAGCGCAGATTTGGACCGAGATGAGATAGGCTACAGCCCGCTGTAAGTCGTCCTGTCGGGACACAGCTGCCAGTTCTTTTCCTCTTCTCTTTTTTAAAGAGGAAAATTCCTCTCCTCTTTTCTTTTTAGAGAGGTAACTCGTTGTTGAACGGGGTAAGCAGTTTTATTTGCTTTTGGAGCAAAGAAGGGGAAGAAACTGCGGACGAACCTTTCCCAGAAACGACTTACGGTCGTCACCAGGATGTGAGCTCTCTCTCTCTCTCTCTCTCCCCCCCTGGATGAAACATCTGCCCCTGAGTCCCTTTTTTTACCCATAGTCTTGAAATGGAGGCAGTTGTGTTTTAAACGTACTTTTACTTACACTGGAATACCACGGACGGACACTTTTGGTAACTTTGATATGGGAGACGTGCGGCTGTCAAGTTAAGAGCTGAGCAGAAAACAGGTACGGTGTAAAACGTGAGTTTCGCTTTCTGTAAGTGTTGGACGGTGTACTGATGTCTAACTGGTTTAACGTGTAGATTGTTACTAACAGTGACCTTTGACGGCTCCATACATCACTCCACGTGTTTCCAGATGTGAACCAACAGGTGTGAAGAAGTGGCCTACCTGAGCCAGAGGCAGATCAACAGCATCATCTTCTTAAACTTTAAATAAACTCTCTAGAAGGCGATATTTGTGCAGCGTTTATCCATTTCTCAGTCATACAATCAGGGCAGCCATAATAAATTACATTTATTAAAGTATATATTGCACAGAGGGATGTATCTGCCTATACACCAGTGGTGGAAAACACTTAAAAGTACATTTAGCCTACTGTTGAGGCATTTGCATTTAGGAGGATTACCATTTCATCCTGCTAATGTCTAGTTGGGCAAATACTGAATACTTTTTATTCCACTGCATTTATCTTACAGCTGTAGTTACAAACATAGCTAGACCGATAAATCAAGAGAGCCGATAAACTGTTAAAGATATGTTTATGGTATATTTATTTAAAGTAGTTAGAGGTTAAATGTTAATGCATCAGTAAAAATGGTCAAATTATATATTACATAATAATAAAACACTGACCACTGACATTCTGCTGCATAAAAAGTACTTTTGATACCTGAAGCAGCAGTTTGGTCATGATATGTAGTTCTACTTAAAGCTGCGACAGGGACATTTTATTTTGTGTTGTTTCTGGTGGCCCCTGTGGACAAAAGCGGTAGTGTTTCTACAAGTGGAATCCAACTCACTTGGCTAATACTACATAGTCAAAATAACTATGTAGAAATAGCCAGTCTTCTCGCTGATGGTCTTGTTTGTTTATGGTGGTCACACAGAGGTATCGGTATTAATTTGAGACAGCTTCATAACCAGTTAAAAAATACCTTGTTGTACGTTTAAGTAAGATTTTGAGTGTGGGACTTGTACTTGTAATAGATCCTTGGACACACATCATGGAACATCTTGCTTATTATTTCTTTGCCCACGTTAACAGGTTAAAGCAACCACACTGCCAGTATAAGCCGCACATTTCATGCACGTCTCAGGCATTGCTGCACTTCACTAGGGAGTAGAGGTCTCTCCTATTTTTTCTGCGAGCCGTGAACAGTTCCCACTAAAAATCTGTTCATAGCCATATCAAGATACCAGCAACATATGCACCATTCACAACAGCTTCAATGTATGTGTCTGTACAAAACGTGACATACATGAAAAAAAAAGTTTAATATTTTTTAAATCGTCTTTTTCAGAGAGAGTTCATATATTTGTTTATTGTATTGTATGTATCAAAGGCGAGGAAGAAAGATAGGGCTGGCAGCAGCATTGCATAGTCACAGTACACCACCATATGCATTTGTATTTATTACAGTCGCTCTAACATCCAACATCA